GGGGTCATGAAGAAATAGTACCTTGCTGCATGGTTTGTCTCCTGAAGGCCCTGGTGGATATTGTTGTCACTGTGGTTCTTTCATCACCATTGGTCTCATGTGGAGCCGTGAGATCCTCTGATACCTGCCCCTGGATACAGTGTCATGAACACACAGTGGTCATGGCATCATGTGCCCACCTAGAGTGGCTTCTGCCCAGAGAGTGCTGGGCCCAGCTGGGTTCTTTTCTGTCCACCCACTTCAGCCCCAGGCCCAGCCTAGTGTTCACTTTGGGCCCCCAGATGTATGCTAGGAAAGAGTATGAGGAAGAAGTCTCTTTCAGATGGTTTTGGAGCCTTTCTTCTAGACTTGAGCCATAGTCCTGCCTCTGCTAACAGAGGGAACTCCCTCAGAGCTCAGGATACTGGGACATCCTGTAGGTGGCCATGGACCACCCTATCTTCCTGACATGTTTCCCTGGGCCATAGGCACAAATGCGACCTGGATTGGGCTGCCCACAGGGAGTACCATCACCAGGGAGGCCAGGTAGGGCATAGTGACTCTTTATGGGAGGCTTGTTTTATTGTATACCCTCCTTGGAGTCTCACAGGGCTCTTCAACTGGTGTAAGGTTGGCCAGAACCTGTGTGGAAACACGCTGAGCTAGTCACCCTATATAGGGTGGCAAGGTGGCCTTTGTTCCAGACAAATGTCAGGGTCCCATAAGAAGAACAAAAGAGAATGTGAACAAGCTATGGCATCTATAGCCCCCTTTCTGGTGACCAGAGGAGGGTCCTAAAACATGTCTATAGCAAGAAGAGTTGCATGGGTTCTCATCTTGCCCTGTGGCCTCCATCCCCAGCTGCCTCATGGGAAGCCCAACAAGAGTTCTGGCCATGGAGTGATTGAGTCGTGTGGCATCTATGCCTCTCCTGTCATTGTGTATCCAGTACTGATATCAGGAGTAATTGCTGTATTATCTTTGATGAGGTCAGTGGGGCCCAACATGATGGAAAGAGGTAGAAAGGCTGCTACTTGTATTCCAGACCAAGCCCAGACTCCCACACCTAGTCATTTCTATATCATTGGTACCCCAGATCCTGCCCCAGGACAACACCTGGGGACAGGGACCAGTTAACACTCAAGGCTATGTTCCAGAGAAGGTGGCCACATTTTCAGCCAAACTACTGCTTGGGGCTTTCCCGTGAAGGCAGATGTGCCAAGCTTCTGAAGCCCCATGCTTTGAAGGGGGCATTTCCCAGACCCAGGAGAAAAGACCTTGACTATACTGTCTACAGAGAACAAGGAAGAGTCCAGGGTCCTCAGGGATTGTAGGGGGGTGTCAGGCAGAGGTGGAGGCTATGGCTGTGTTAGACTCTGATGTTGGAGCTAGAGGATCCTCTCTGTCCTGAGAATCCTTTTCCAACCTGACCAACACACAGGGGTTCAGATGGAGACCCAGAAATGGGTTCTATTGCCAATATTTCATAATCTGGTGAATTAAAGAACTAAGTGAAGGAACAAATTGAAGGAACCTTGAGGTTCCCTCCCTATGGTTCAGCCAGTGAGGGTTCCCTGGAGATGTGTCTACCCTGCTTGTGTGACATCAGACAGCTACTTCCTCTCTGAGCCTCACTTTCCGTAGCCTCTGTCCTCAGCAGGTGGGCCTGAGGTCAGTTGGGCTTTTTAACAGGCTCTTAGTGGGTCCACAGCACCCTAAATGAGAAAGTAGACTTCATGTTCTTGTGCACAAGGCATATTTCTGGGGTTCAAAAAGACTGGGAACATGGAGCATTTCATGTGCTCTTTGGGCTAAGTGCCAAGCTTAGATTCTGGGCCCAGATGTGGCAACCTGGCTTGGAGCACAGCTGTGGGTAGAAGCCTGCCAACTTCTCTCTTCAGATAGGTGTGGGATAAGGACACATATCACAGGATAGGGGACTGGTGTCCATCATCCCTGCTTCCTGCCAACTGCTTACAGCTTTCCCAGGTTTTGGCCTTATCTTCCCCTGCAGCATGCATGATGTGGCCCAAGAGCTTGTGGTGACACTGACTCCCAGGGCTTAGAGTTGCCAAGCCTGAGGCCCAACATCTGAAGGCTTGTCTGCCCTAGAGCAGAGGCCATGGCCTGCTCAGAGGAGGAGGAGGAGGAGGCCAGGCTTTCGGAGGAGACCAGGGCCTGGGTGTAGCCTGACAGGGTCTGTGTCTGTCAGTAGAGTCCCCAGATCCCTTTTGTGGAGCTGGCTGATGATGAGAAGATCTTTGATGGAAGTGACAAGCGGCAGGGCCAGGAGCAGGTATTGCTTCTGGACATCACAGAGGAGGACCTGGAGGCTATCTGGCTGCTTGAGAAGGCCAACTTGCAGATGGTGGTAGGCTGAGTGGTGGCCGTACACACTCTTGGCTTTCCACCTGGCAGAAGCTGGGTTGGGGACCAAAGTTTCTGTAGGCTCAGCCTTACTGTAGCACCATGCATCCTATGGTTTGTCCCACAGCTTGGAGCAGATTGAGTTCCACAGCCTTGGCTGGGCTGACTGCCCCTCCTGGACCGTGGTGTCTGGTGCATGTGGTAGAGGCTGGAGCCTGGGGGTCCCTGTGCCTATTTTCTCTTTCTCAGCTTTCCTGGTAGTGCATGCCCTGTGTCCATAAGCCAGGACCTGTGTCAGCGTTATACCTCAGCCTCTGTGCCATTTTCCTTGCTGCCTATTTAGATCTGGAGATATTTAACTTAACTAGTTCTTCAGTGATTGAGAGTATTGCTCAGACTTGAGCTTGCAATTTTGGGATACTGCCAACAGGCGGCAGAATGAGTCTCAGGACAGTTCTAGGGCTGAAGACTGGATGCTGCTTGCTTTTGGGTTTTTAGGATTTCCACATGTGTGGTAGCTCCTGGCAAACACGTCTGCAGCCCACAGACAGTTTGTGACAGTTGCTGAACACCTGAAATGTCTGAGAGAGCTACGTATGTGAGTCCGTGTGCAAGTGCAGTTGTGCCCCACCTCTGATATTAAAGTGTGTGTGGAAAACAGGAGTTAGTGGCTTGACAGGGACACAGCTCTGCAGGTCATCACATGCAAGGTTTGTGTGTGATTGGGCATGTTCTCCCTTCCTCTGGGCCTTTTCATCCGCAGGGGCTCCTGGGTATGCCCACTGTGATACTCTTCGGTACAGGGCTTCTGGAACACATGGCCCTTGAAAGCAGATCCTTGTAGAAAATGGGAATGTAGGCAAGTTCGGTCAGAAAACTAAGTCACTGGCTTAGAACCTGTCACCATCTCTCCAGATGACCAGCAGGCTTCCCACTGTGGGAGGAAGGAGACACCCCACAGGGAGCTGAGATTTGTTCCCCTTTCTCCCTTCTCCCCTTACTTTAAGGCCACCTCTCTCTGCCTCTCCCATGTCCCCCATCCCACTTCAGCCTGGTGCTTATTTCTCATGACTTCTGCTCAGTTCCTTCTACTTCTGGGAGCTGACCCCATTTCTATCCTCCAGTTCCTCAGATGGGATGCTGCCGAGGTCCCAGCCTTGCCCTGAAGGAGGCAGCTGGGGACGGTGTCTTCAGCTGCACAGAGGTGTTCAGAAAGCATTTAAACATAGTTGTTCTTGGGCTGGGGGATTTAGCTCAGTGGTTCTGGTGCCTGCCTCACAAGCGCAAGGACCCAAGTTCAATCCCCAGTACCAAAAAAACAAAAACAAAAACAAAAAAACAGTTGTTCTTGTTCCTCTTCTGGCACAGCCAGGTCCACTTTTGAAGAAAGCAGAGACATAGATACAGGAGCCTGGGTGGCCTAGAGAGGCAGTTGGACCTGCTTCTCTGTAGCTACACATCTGAAATCCTAGAAAGCTAGGAAAACAGCCTTTGGGAAGCACTCCTGGGCCTGTCCTTTGGGAGTAGAGGAGATTTCATAACGGTGACAAGAGGGAGATCTTATTGGACCTCATGCATCCAGGGAACAGAGGCATGAACCAAAGCACATGCTACCACCAGGTCCCCGCTTCCTATGAGGAATGGCTGGCCTGAGCTGTACTCAAGCCCAGGGAGCCCTTGGGTAGGAGACTCATCCCTCTCTGTTCTCCACAGCTGATTCAGTAGAGGAAGTGGGGTGAGCCATGGAATTTCCCATTGCCTTGCTCCCAGGGATGCACTGGACACCTGAAGCTCCTGGTGCCTTGTGCAGCCTTCTGGGGGTGCTCTGGATGGATGGTGCCAGCTGTGTGCTCAGGCTGCTGCAGCAGTCCCAGGGTGAAGTCACCAGGGGTGCAGGCTTTAGGTGGTGCACCACTGGACCCTCTGTGGAAAGGTTTCTCATGCCTCAGGTTCAATGTGATAAATGTGGGCAGAGCACAGAGCTTTCCCATGGGTGAGGGGCTCCCAAACAGAGGCTGCTGTGATTGTCCAGTTGAGAGATACAGGGGCCTGGCCTGGGGCGGGGGCTAACCTAGAACACAGGTTAATTTAGGGCCAGGCCTTGTCCAGACTTGGTTTCTCACAGCTTAGCACCTTAATGGATTTGGTAGGGCAGCTTCTCTGGCATACCTCATCTTTCCAGCCTCAATTTGTTTATCTTTACTGCAGACACCATACAAAAGGCTAAGAGCCTTATGCCAGTGTACAGCAGGTATGGATGGAAGGAAAAGCAGAGGGAGTATCATTCTTGGAAGACATTTGCCATAAACACTACTCTTTCAGCAATCACTCATTCTCTTTGATCTTTGAAAACACAAAATACAAAATGCAAATTGTCACTAGCTTTTAAAACCCTATTCCAGTCTGCAGCAGGTCCTGGGCCAGCAAGGGCAGGAGGAAGTCAGCCAGCTGACCCCTTGGAAGTAGCTGTGACCACAGGGCCATCCATGAGGCCCAGGCCCTACAAGACCAGTTGCTCTAGAGTTGTTGGGAGAGCTTATGAAACAGCCTCAGAGGGACAGTTCAGTGGACATAGAGGTGTGGGCATATGGGGACACTGAGGCCGGGGGCAGGGGTTAGTTGATCTATCTCTGATACCTTCCTGTTGTCTTCAGGCTTTAAGCTAAATCCTTGAAGGCCAACCACAAAGGAGCTCTTGGATCCCAAGTCTTATGTGAGTAACTTCTGAATGTATAAAACCATGCAAATTCCAAAGACCCCAGGGATTGTGGGAGGTGATGAATAGTATGTGGGCTGGATATTATGCCTCAGCGGGTGTGCAGAGCTGAGTGCATGGTGGGAACCCCCACCTAGTGGGGCCAGTGTTCCCATGCAGTATCCCTTCTCTTCTTGTTTTCTCCTCCCCAGAATCGTCCCAGGGGTTAATAGCCAGGATTGGGATTCATAAGCTGGCTCTAGGCTGAGGTTTGTACTAAGTGGCTGGGTGACCTTGAGCTGCCTCCTGCCTTGTTCATTCCTTCTGCAAATAGACAGGTCTAGGGATGCTGTTTCTTCAGGGGTCACCAGCCCAGAGAGCGCATACGCCATTCAACAACACTAGATCCTCTGGGGCTGTTTAGAGGACCTAATGGGTGCCTTGGTTTATGGGAGGGCACAGGCCTGCAGGGGACCCTTGGGCGTGGGTCTTGGTGGGCCTGCCTGGGCCTGGTCTAGTTAGATGCTGAGTGAGTGTCCTGACATTGATCTCAGGAAACACTCCATTTTGCCCTTGAGACCCAGACCTGAGGCCCCCTGTGCCATCTTCTGTGATGAGCTAGGTCATGGCACTGCTGGTCCCCACAGCTCCCCCAGACTTGGGCTCAGATGAGACCCCTTGGAGTGATCCTCCTGCTACCTTTCCTGCTCCTGCATTCCTCATCACATACTGTAGTTTCTAGGATCTAGCTCTAGCTGTGCTCCTGTCTATAGGTCCCACTAGAATACTGTTCCCTTGGTGTCATGGCTGGGTCCCTGAGGCCTGCAGTACTTTGCTCCAAGACATTTATTGAATCAACCCCTAAAACTGGTCAGTCTTCCACAGTGACAGTGGCCAGGCCCTGCCCCTGATTCAGTATACTTACTCACAGGGTAGTGGCCTCTCTTCTCTGGGGTGGGCTCAGGATGCAAAAAATAGTGTCTCATACTTGTTCAGGGAGCCTGAACTCTGTTCCTGTCCTGTCCACACAGCCTTCTCTTGTCTCTCTGCTCAGTGTCATGGGGACGATGCCTGCTCACCCAGCCTTGGTCTGGCTTCTCACCACATCCTCTTGTCTTGACCTTGTCATCTTCCCCCGGGGCCTGGTTTACCTTACTTTACCAGCTTTGGTTCTCTTCCTGCCTGCTGCCTGCATATGTTCTGGAGCAGTGTGCCCCTCTGGAGCTGGGCTGAGGGGATGAAATGAGGTGTGAGGAAAACGGGCAGTCCTGTAACACCACTGTTCTGGCCCATGCTTATGACTGTACTTCTCACTGGTTTGCCTTGGGCTTCTCCATCTTTATTTCTTGTTCAGGAATGGAACTGAGAAAAATGTTAAAGTAATACTGACCCCACAATGACACAGCACAGTGCAGGTGAGGATTGAGAGATTCCAGGTGAGGGAGCAGCCCCTTCCTGGGTATCCTGGCCCATTTACTGCCCTAAACACAGACTGTTTGGCCTGCATACAGTGTCAGGCCTGCGCTGTAGAGCAGAGGCACTCCTTTGCATAGGCTCGTGTCCAGCTGGTGAGTGAGGATGAGTTAGGGAGCTGTATGCCACCCCGAATGCAAGCATCACTTATGGGAACAGTGAGGCAGAGGACTGATGCAGTCCAACCCTAACCCAGACACTTTTCTCCTTCCTGTTCAGTGCCCAGTAGCAGTTGGCCTCCCAGGGAGGTGGGGGTTGAGCCAGTTGTGTGGAAAAGTGAAATCTATGGGTAGGTCTCTTGGATGGGAGGCAGCTGCGGGAGGATCCTTGGGTACCGGGCCTCCCTCCCAGTCAGCCCATTTCCCCTTGCCTGCCTTAAGTCTGAGGCTGCTCACCTCAGGCTTCCTAGCATAGGACACCTCCCTGGCACCGGTCCCAGGTGGGAGGCCCAAACCTCACCCACCCACAGGACCCTAGGTGTGAGGTGCTGGAGCTCACAGTCTCCTGGCTGGCAACTCTATCTGGACTGTAGAGATGGAGAAGCTGTCTGATGCATCACTGAGAGTGTGAGCTTTAATTGTATTTTGTCAGTGTGACGCTGCATATAGGTGAGGAGGAAGTAAGATCGATGGGCTACAGTGAGCGGTGTCTGAGGACCAACTAGGCCATGCCCAGGAGCCACTCTTCTTTCCCATGGCAGGCAGCTCTGTATACCCAGGCCTGCCCTAGAGCTCTGCAGACCTTATGTGTGTTAATGTCCACCCACCTCCTCTGCTTGATCAGGAGGGTGCTAGTGCCCAATTTGGCTTTCTACCCTCTGAGGCTCAGCCTGTGGGCCCTGAGATGATGTGGGGAGCTGGCAGACATACAGCAAAATGGCCCAGTCAGCATCAATGAGTGGGGCCCAAGCACCTTCACTCTCTTCCTCCCTTGTCCCTCTCCAAGCCCCAGTGGCTTCCTAGTTGTGCTGATGGTCAAAAGTGAGGGGACCCTGGAGCTGAAGAGCTGTGAGTCACTTTGCAGACATGAATCCCTGTGGACCATGCATTTGGGACCCTCTAGTTGCCCCAGGCCTTAAGGGGGGAACTTTGGTCCCCACATGGCTGCCCTTCTGAGCTCTGTGAGGCTGTCATAGCCCTTCTGTCACCACTCTTCTCTGGAGTCCCTACCTCATCCTTACCTCTCCTCTCACTGGCTTTGTTCCCCCAGGCACTCTAGGATCCTATACAAGACCTCAGCCTTCTCTGGTCCCTGGAACAGTTCATCCCTCTATCCCAGCTCCTTACTGATCTAGGTGGGCTACTCTGTCCCTGTCCCCAAGGTGGGGCCTAGATTACCTTTTCTTGTTTGAGATGGGATAGGGTGGCCATTTCTGTGGGGGGAGGTGCCCCTGTCCCCCTGCCCTGACTACCTGTCTGCTGAGGATCCCCATGGAACTGAATGAATTTTGCTATCCTTGTGTGCACAGATAGGCCAGGGCAGAGCTGACGGGGCATCTGGATGCTAACAGAACCCTGGATCTGACATGGCCTGTCACCACCATGCTGGAGCACATAGCTGTCACTCCAGGCCAGTGGGCTGGGCAGGGCTTTCAGGGGCTTTCCTGGACTATCATGGCCTGGAGCGGGAAAATCCAGGGCCCAAGAAGCTTCCTTGTGCTTCTAGAAAAGGTCTGGGCAGGCTGTGGGCATCTCTTAGCTGTGGAGGGGAAATGGGAGTCTGCACCAGGATCCCAGCCCCAGCCATACCACTGCTGGGCCACATAGCCCTGAGCAGGTCACCTCCCAGGGCCTCAGTTTGTTTTCTGTACAATAGGAACAGCACTACCAGCCTCAGGCTATTGCAAGAATTGGGTAAAAATGAAGACTTTGCTAGCCTAGAGGTGAAATGCCAAGGTGGAATCAGTGCCTAGCAAGAACTCCTCTGGAGAAGAACTAGAAGCTGGGAGGACCAGCAGGGAGGAGGAGTCTGTCTGGGGATGCCCTTCCTTCATCAGGCCAACTGCCTGCCCTGTACCTTCTGTAGACCTTGCAGAACATCTTCCTCCCAGAATGATGCTCAGGCCCGGGAGTGGGCACGAAGGGCCTTGGGGTCCCCAGTTAGCTTTGCAGCTCCCTAACCCCTAAAGCCACAGTTCAGGTCAGCATGTGGAGCCTGAGGAGAGCAGGTTCTGATACCACCAGCAGCAAGGCCAGCCTTGCCAGAAGCTCTGATATTCCAGGAGCACCTGGGGAGGAAGAGCTATAGCCTAGAAGAGGTAAGGGCTGGGCTGCTTCTGAACTTGGGGAAATCAGAGGGAGTTGTGGTTCAGCCACACAGCTTGGCATGTAGTGCTTAGACATGGGGTGGGGGCTTATGCTGAGGGAGGGCCCTGGGGACAGCTGTGTGCATCTGTGGTGGCCCAGGAATGGGTATACACTTTGGCCAGGAGCCTGTAAAAAGGTGTGTTCTCTGCCTGGTTTGGTCAGATTGGGCCAGATGGGTGGGACCCCTGCTGTGGCCAGGGTGAGGATGTGCTGCTCTTTTGGGTTCAGTGTGGTGGGACCCTCATGGTGAGAGCGCTCCACAACAGCCCTCTGTGGTCTATTTCTTGCCTGCTCTTCAAACAGCCTTCAGCTGTTTTCCATGACAATCTCAGGTAGATTTTGCCTATGCCCACCTCCTCTTCAGTCTGGCCACTGCCAGCACAGCTCTAACTGGCTCTCAGCCCCCCTTCCCCAGAACATTCTCACCCTCCTGCTTTCTTGCTTCCTTCCTCCTCTGGTTCTGACCACCTGTGGGTGCAGAGCAATCACTCCTATCTAAACAGCTCCCCTTCCTAAGGAGGTGTCCACCCTCCTGCCAGGCTTTTCCCTCCTTCCCTGCCAGGGTCCTTTCTGGGATACCCAGTGTCTTGTCTCTTCCCATTTTGGTCCTTGTCCCTGTTGCCCCATCAGCAGTTTTTGGTAGAACTGCTTATCATTCCTCCAAAAGCATTTCTTCCAGGCTCCAGGACTCTGCACATCCCTGTCTTCCTGCCTCTTTGAGGCTCCTTTCTGAGAGAGCAGCACCTCTCTTGTCTCCTTTCATCCCCCACCTCAGTGGTCCTGGTCTAGCTTGTATCTTTAAGTGCCTATAGACGCCTCCCTAAGGCCCCTGCAACCTGCCCTCTCCAGAAATGCACATGAGGTGTTCAGTGCCCACAGCTTGGGCCTTTAGCCACTGAGACTCAGGACTGAGACCTTGCCCACAGGGGCTTCCCTGTGGCTCAGGCTAAGATCCTCCAGCACCTGATTTCTCTCCTTCTCTTTCTTACACCCACATCTGTTTGTCCATAAACCTGTTGGAGTGTATCTGTCTCGGCTCCTGTCCCTGTCCTTTCCCCTCTGGTGGTAATATTAGTTCCCTGTGATTTGTTGCTTCCTCCCTCCCCCAGTCTTTCAGCACTGGTTCAGGGTAATTCTGGGAAATGGGGTCATTCATGTCATGCTTGTGTTGAGAACTTTCCTGTGGCATACATACATACACACATACATCAAGAAACTGTAGGGTGCTGGCATCTGCTC